AAGCATAAATTTCCCATGGAGAGAGGAGGAAAGAAGAAACCAGAAAATCTAAAACAATGGAGGATGAATCAAGAAATGGTCACCGAAGTCTCTTTCATGGGCAACTGTAATGGGATTCTTAATTGTATTTTGGCAGCTACACACTACTGGGATAAACAGATTAGATATGCTATATTCTTTGGCATCAAGTATCTGCCTCTATTATTTACTAAATAATAAATGAAAAATCAAGCTACATTATGAACAATAAAAAACCTGAACAATGAATGGCAGTTAGTTGCTTTTAGGACTACCTACCTACTGACAAGCTTTTAAAATAATCATTGGGAACATAAAATTTAGTAGCTTTCTTGACAAAGATTATATAAAGCATTTAACATCAACCTCCATCAAGATTCCATTCTGTTTCCTGTCAAGTCTATTTTCTAAAGACACAGCTTCCTTTACTAAAAGCCCACGAACAGTTCAACTTCTAATAGATTAGTTGGATTGTGTACTTAAGTGCTGAGTGTAAGAAAGATCTGAAACTGCGCTACTGACTTCAAGCACAGACAATACAAGGGAGACTTTCCTTCTGGACATATGCCAAGTTCATCCAGAAGCTTCAATCATATTCAACTTATCATATATTGGTAATGTGTCTGGTCCAAATGACAAATTGGATCTTTCAAGTCGAATGGAATTCATCACACGGATATAACTGACCTTTTGTTATTTTACTGTATTTAACCAATTTCAAACTGAACGTAACTTTAAAAAAAATGTCTGAGATACAAGATGTTAACATAGTCAAACATTCCAATAATCATTTCGCCTCGTTACTGTTCTACAAGAGATTCAAAACAGCTAATATTAGCCTATAAGTGCTACATAGTGCATGTATTAAAAAAAATCCCAACAATTTATGTTCTGTACACAATCAATGCTGAATATAGTACAGAGAAAATCAATTTTGCAAATGAGGAAATACTGTAATATAAGCATCTTCTTTCAGTCAATGAAGGTTAGAAGGGGGCTGAGCAACAGAGAAATACTGACTGAAAGATCAATACTAATTATATATTTATAACAGCTATACTAGCCTTTAAACAATACTTCCTCAAAAGAAAACATTTCAGATTTTATCCTAGAAAAAGAACACTTTCACATCAATATAAAAATCTTAATTATTTTATATTTAAAAACTTTTCTTTAACTGTCCCAAAAACTGACATTTCACGACAGAAAACAGGATATTGGGTTGGGTCAATTTTTCAGCATAAGATGCCAAAAAGCTGCAATTTCATGCTACCTTTTAAACAAAAGCAGCTATTGTGATGGCTCTAGGCAACAGTACAAATGAAGAATTCACACAATCCAAATTATGAATGTAAATTAACAACTCTTGGCCTGATCATGATTTAGAGCTCTTTGGGGAAAAGTAGGACCACAGCTGGTAAAGAAGCACATGGCCTCTCCATGGGTGGCCCTTATACATCCCTGGAACCTTTATGGATGGGATCCAGAGCCAAGGTTTTATCCTGTACATGGAGAAGGATTTCCTTCAAAATTTCTGGGATTTTTTTTTTTCCAGGGCGAGGGAAGAGTTAGCAAGATATCAAAAAGTAATGAAGTTTCCTTAAATTGGGAAACTTGAACTGTGAAGATCATTTATTTATTTAGGAATTACAGCGTAAGTAAAATGGAGAAAATTTGGAGAACGAGCTGTAAGAGAAAAATCCTTGTGGGGGCATTACCAGAGAGGTATGTTGGAAACTAATTTGTTATTGTGTGTGTATCCTAGATTTAAAAACAAACATGCATGTATTTATCACAGGACACCAAGCAGACCAATTGCTAGACCAGGCTATTTCAGGGAGGAGCAAGCCACTCTGCGTCTTTACTTGCAGTGTTGCTACAGAGAGAACTGCAGTAATATGTGAAATGAACACAAACAAGAAAAAATAAATTTTTAAACCACTGATTTTTTGTTGTTGCATGAAACGTATTCAGAAAGCTTTGGACAACTCAATCTCAAGGAAATTAGACTCAGCAGAACATGTCTGGTCAAGCTCATGCACAACAGAATGGGCTGGGAAATTTTTTTTTAAATTTGAGCTTTTGTCATAGAATGTACACAATCCAACCTTTCAAAAAACTGTTTCCATTCTATAACTAATTCCCACAATACAAAGCTAACCCTCACAAAAATTATCTGTAGACACCATGACAGGAGCATATAATTTTTCCATTCCACTTTACCCATTCCTTGCTGTAAGACCACCATTTTGGTACCTCCTGCTGCACTAAACAGCTGGCAAAAAGTAAATGATTGCAGCTTTTTGTGACTGAATACAGACCATGTTACTTCCAACATGTACTGACTCCACTAGCCTGGGGTCCTGCAATCATTTCTTCATCAAAATCTTTCTAGCTGGCACTGTATTAGAAGCTCAGTTAAAATACAAAGTGAAATTGCTACTTAAATAAACTGCATTATGTCCACACAACATGGAAAGCTACTCTTGGAACTACACCTTAATTTCTTCAGTAGCCAGAGCCCTCCAACCCACCCCTCTGGTGTGGAAATAGACTCCTGTGAGAGACACAGCAGGAACAGCAATATCACTTTGCAGCTGAGAGCCTCCTGCCAGCTCCAAGACTTCACCAAGACTCAATTCAAATAACTGCTGCTTTGTCCAACCAGAATTATCGGATCTCTAGTATCTGAAATAATTATCATCCACACATTTGGGCACCTTAACATTCACCTTTGCTTCCAGATTTTTAAATAAATATATTAAATAATAACAGTCCTAGCACTGATCCCTGGGTAATCCATATTGAAAACAGACCATGACAGGAAGAGATTGGAAGAAGATACAAATAATCTCAGATATACTGTATATATTCTCTAAAAAGCTTTTATTATGCCTGTAGGTGTAAACAGATTTTTTTTTTTAAAAAGCACTGCTTTTCTACTCTATTTTCTACTATTCTATTATTCTACCAAAAGTTTCATTATGGTGCAGCTATTGCAATCTCTATTTTATGTTTCTGAAAGTACCACTGTGCCTAATCTTATTGTCGTTAAAAAATAACACTCTCTCTTTATTAACAAAAAATAGTTTAACTGTTCAAATGCCTAGTTTAGGGATCGTTCTTTGGCAATGATCTACCCGTTTGTGACATTTGAAAAATAATCTATGTAGAGACTTTAAGAATAAGTAAACATCTCTACTAAGAAAGAAAGCTGTATAAATAAAGAACAAAATCTGTGATCATTTTCATATGCTGCCAAGCTCTGGATGAATATTTCCAAAGAGCTGGCGCCTCTCTTTTGGGTAGCGGTGGGTGGAGTATTACAAGATTTCTCTCTCTCTCTCTCTCTCAAACTGGAATCTGGTCTCTATTAAAGCTATTTCAACTATAGTACTACAGTCTGAAATTTTTTAATTTTATACAGACATTGTTGCAATCCATAGGAGAACTAAATGATGAGATGTTAAAAAGTCTAGTGGTTCCCAGATTTGCTGATCATGCCATGCTAAACAGTATAAAAGAAGTTTAAAGATTTCCAAGTTTTCAATATTAATTAAAAGTGTAGTTTACTCTCAAAAGAAACCAATACTGGTACTGGTGAGGTTCCACCCTTATTGTAATTCAACAGCTACAGATTACATGTGCTCAGTTTCCAAGATGTCAATTCTAAGATGTTTCTTTTGTCAGCACTGTGAAAACTCAATGAATAAGATGTTTGAAGGCCAAATTATGCTCTTAGTTACACCTCTGAACTCATCCACCATTAGACTTCACTGCGTCTGTACAAGCTTAACAGGAGAATCTCAGTTTTCATTAAAATCAGTAACTTTCTAGCCCCTTATGGTTGCAGAGAAAAGGTTGCAGAGATTGAAATTGTGAACCCTAAAGACTCCAGCACCTGAAGGCAAACAAAAAGTACCCAACATTTATTTTATTTTAAATCTCATGACTTAAGCCTATATCATTTGGGGGGGGGGGGGGCAGTTAGGGGACTGATTATGCATTTTTAAATATTTGGGGCTGGCAAGAATGCATGGCAGTGATTCCTAGAGTAGAGGTAGCGAAGGCACTCTCTCGTAACTAACCAAGTAAATTGCCTGAGGCCTTTCTAACCAGCTTTTCCTTAGAGACCAACCCAGCGCAGCTCTTCCACATGCCTTCCACTCTTAGCTTACTGACTTCACCAGTCTCCGTAGGCCTGTTCCCCAGCTTGACTTACTTTCTGAACCAGCCCTTCTTTTTGGTCTCACTCCCCAGATCTTCCCTTTTCACTTAGCAAGGAGACCATGAAGACAAGAAGAGATGAGATAGGGTTGAGTGATCCCAGGAAAGAAATCTACTAAAGCTTGAGAGGGGACTAGTCATGCTGTCATTATGGGGTCACCGCCAAAGGACCCAAAATGCCACCCCCCAAATGCTAGTGCCCTAGGCGACCGCCTAGGTCGCCTAATGGGTTGCACTGGCCCTGCTTCAGGTCTGGTGCAGCAGCCACCACTCTCCCAGCCACCCAGGTCTGAAGGCAGTGCAGAAGTATGGGTGGCAATATTGCAGCATCCCATCACTAACCTGGCAAATCCACCCCCCCCACCTTCTTTTTTGTCGGGATCCCCAGTTTGAGAAATGCTGGTCTCCCCTGTGAAATCTGTATAGTATAGTGTAAAAGTACACAAAGAGACTAGATTTCACGGTCCATGACGCATTTTTCATGACCATGAATTTGGTAGGGCCCTAGTCACGAGTCTGCAACCAGTAATTGGGGCCACCTACAGGGAAAATGGTAACACCAACTTACGTGTATGCAAATAAAAACCTGTTGTTTTCCATGTGCCTTTTCAAGTTTTAATAACTTAAGTAGGATATTAAATCATGCTTTACTATTTTCTTAACAGCAAAATTAAAACAAACAGGAATTCCCGATCATTATACATACAGACAGACAAGTTATAGGAAATAATCTAGATTTTTGGTAAAGTACTAACCAGTTACTGACAGCAGCTGTGAAACCCTCACCTCCATTTCCTCCCGATGAGACCTGTCTCTGTCCTCGAATTCACGAGTTCTTCTCCGAGCTTCTTCAAAGGCTTGCTGTGCCAATGCATCCTCCTGCTACCAAACCAGAAGACATAAAATTACGAGGCTACATACATTTCTCCCAAGTTATGTTCTATTTAACTCCGGGCATTGTTTAAGGACAACAAGGTTGACCACAGGGAGTAGGGGAGAAAAATCTGACCTCTAAAATCTATTACTAATGATGACGCAGAAGTCAGAAAGGAAAGAACTTGACCTTCAGACTGAAGAATGAATGTGCAGGTTTAGCAGTTAGACAAGATATCAATTCACATGGAAACTGAGCAAATGGGATATGAAATCATCTAGACAAATCTGGAGCTATGCAATGCCACTTTTAAAAGTCACTTTGCAGATCAGAACTGCTTTTTAAAGAATCAAAAATATAGTTTCGAAGTGGAGTCTGACTAAGTTTCTTAAACCAAGAAGTTAAAGGAAACCTCAAAGCTTATATTACAGAGGTAATATTTTTCATTCTTGATCTTGAAAAATTAAGTAGTTTTGTAAGGTAGATGACAGCACTAAACAAATTAATGATAACTGTAAATTAGATAATCAGGTTCTTTACATTCAATTTTTATGCTCTAAAAACAAACAATTTAACAGATTAGCTGTGAAACTCTTCATCACTTTGCATCTATAGCAACATCTGACCAAAAATGAATATTCACATCCCTTAGTATATAATTTAAAATACAAAACTGTTAAGAGCTAGAAAATATTCTTCCCCCAATTCTTGTGTAGACAAACATCCATCAGTATCAGTGGACTTTCATATTTTGGTGAAAAAAACAAAACAAAACAAAAAGAACAAAACCCCAAAACCAAAAAACCCCACCAGATTTTAGTACAACTTTACAACAAAAAGGATGGACAGTAATCTTAATTTAACTGTTTTTATAAAATCTATTCAATATTTTCTATTAAAAATGGTAACATTTTAGATTTAAGTTTTATGTTGTCTAAGCCAATATTAACACAATAATAAATCTGCATATACCCTTTACTTAAAGGGACATGTTTAGTCAGTTTAGAAGAATTTGTGCGAATTTAAAATAAGAAGGTGAGTTCCTGTTTCTCCCACCGATGCTTGTAAGGATCAGCAAGAGATGAGTTGATCGTACAGGTCAACAGTGAAACAGAAAAAAAATCTCTTTTCACCATTAACTTTTTTCAGTCACAGTAATTATAGATTGCACTAGTAACTGTCATATGTTATTTTCAAGTGGGTCTCTCTCTTTAAAAAACAGAAATGTTAACCTTGATTTATAGAGGACAAAAATGTTCCGCTCCCAAGAACTCAGTTCAGTTTTTATATACCAAGGGATTAAGTGCATTAACTTTTAAATTTAAGATAACATGTCTCTAGCCTAAGAGAATGTCAAATTGCTTTTCTTGCCTGCAGCACTATCCTACACCCTAAAGCTACTTTGTGAAATGATGCAAAAAAGTGTCTCCCCTGTGGCCTAACACAGTTTAATACAAACATCTGTCAATCAATAGATCTTCATAGCTCAGTCTCCAGAAAGATATCAAAGGACAACGTTTACAGCTGCCATTAAGATACCATTTTGACAGCAACTTCTACTTTTAAATGATAACTTTGTCTCCTTTTGGTGATTTTTATATTGGTGTAATATATATCAATTATGGTGGGACAGTGGAAGGGAAAATAGAGTTCATTTCTTTTAATGGAGAAGGACAGAACTAAAAGAGGTGGTCTAGCTGATTACTGATGACTAAAGAAAAGCTCTCATTTTTTAAATTTAGGCAACCCATGCAAAATTTCATAATTACCTACTTCTTTACCAAAATTTTTAATGAAAATTGATTTTTTTTAATAAGAGATCAGCAGTATTTTAAGCTAAGCAAAACCAAGTGGAAAAACAAATTTTCAAAGATAGCCTAAAAATTTAAAAAAATACAGCTATGCATATGCTGATGCGTGTGTGTGTACTGATAAAGAGAAGCGTTCCCCCCCACCCCCAAGAGTGTATCTGATCCGGAGAACAGCCCAATAATTTTGTCATTTAGTTTCCAATAACAATTTGGTAACCATTTAGATACTGGAAAGGTAGATACAAGTCTTTTTAAGCATTTGTCTGGATGGAAGGCTGGAAAATACCATAATTCTAAGAAGTTAAGTAATGACAGTTCTGAAAAGCTCCATGGGAACAAAAATAAATAAACAATTATTCCTTCTTCTCAGGCGGAACTCTGTTTCAGGTTGGAAGTCAAGGTTTCAAAAGGTGGCAAGTGATCACAAAAAGGTACCTTAACGCTTTTAAGCCATAGACGGATTTTGTTCAATAAGCAAACTAGAAGATGAATCAGAATAGTTTCTCTAAGTTCTAGCTTCAGCCAGAATATTAAAAAAGAAACCAATAAACCTGGAATAAAACCCAAATTAAGACTTCAGAGGAGGGAGAGAAACAAGCTGCTGATATCCAGACTAGCCATGTATGTTGATGGCTGAAAGGATGGCTCACCAACACCTGGGAAAAAAATGTGAGGTTGTCATTTTCTTAAAAAAAAAAAAAAATTCTGCTTTCAGGCTATTGCAGCCCATTATGAAGTAAATTAAATGAACATTCATCAAGAACTTTTATAGACAGTGGATTTGGGGTGACAGCTGAAAAAAGTTAACAATTTCCGCCTGGAGAATTGTACAGTACAAAAAATATATATAAAATCAAATTATCTAAAACAAGGCCTTGTTTTTACAATGAAGACAATGTATCTAGTAACAAAATACTGACAAAGTACCAATGAGAAAAGCATGCAAAACATTTCTTAGGTGTCTCAACACGAGCATAGGAAGTAGTAGAGGCTGCCGTGAATAAACATAGTTCTGCTTTAGAAGGCATTGCAGCTACTTGGTCAGAAAAGACAGGAGTGAAATAATCTAGATCTACATAGCAAATATTAAGCGCTAGAAGGAAAGGATCTAGTGTAGTGCTAATATATCAAAATATACAAGCACTGAAGCACAGACAGATGCGAGACAGAAACAGCAAAAGTCTATGGATTAAAAGATGGGAATTTTGGCCCCCGTTCAGCAAAGTACTCAAGCAAGAGTAACTAAGTACATGAGTAGGTCCACTGAATTTAATGGGACAATATGCATGTTAAATTTACACATGTGCCTGAACACCTAGCTGAATGGGGCCTTAAATAAGGCTAGTGTGCTATAGGCTGCTTAATAGTAAATGAGAAGATTGGTACATTACAGATCAAACAGCAAAAACATGAATTTTAAAAATAAAATTATGACGTATTTTAATTACCAAGGTATCTTTTGAAAAAAAGCATATATGACTGACTTAGTAGTAGATAGTTTCTTATTCCAGAAAGGTGGAAGAAAAGAAGATCAATTTAGTCTGAATCCAGTATTAAGTAAAATAGTGATGAAATCAGAAAATGGGAGAGAATACATTTTTATAAGGTAAGCTTTCCTTATAAAGGAGGCTATGTAAATTACAAAATTGTTTATATAGTAGCGGTGTGTGTAATATGCAGAGACCACTTAGTCCTCTGAAATTAATCACTTCTGGGGTGGAATATAGCAGCCAGTCATCCTCCACTAACAACATTATGCAAGAGTTTCAGTGGAAGTAAATTATGATTTAACCAATTTAAAATTACAATGGAAAAAGAAATACAGGAAGAGTGTTAAAGAACAGTGGCTGACAGTACTAATACACGTTTAAATACAAGAAAATTAGAATGTGTCTTTTGAGGGGCTGGCAAAACAGAAAGAAGAATTATATTGCTCAAATGGCACACTTTTAGTAATGGGTAATTTGCTTTTAAAAAACAAATGTAACCTCTTCTTTAAATGGAAAAACGCAACATAACCATATACTCATTAATACTAAGATACGCAAGAGAAGAAACGGAAAAGGAAGGTTACTCACCTGTAATTTTGAGTTTGCACAGGTATATACCTATGCAGATCCACACTCTTGGTGTGATGCTTCCACCTCAGCACCCTGAGCTCAGAAACTTCAAGAAAGCACTGACATTTGAGGCTGCATGTACATTCCCTCATGGATTTAAATGTTCAGTGCGGGGATATATTTCAAGACAAAAACATTTGTTAAAATGGCGTTAAGGCTAAGAGTATGTATTAGTAGCTTCAGGGTGAAAATGAAGTAGTATAAACTCAGGAAATTCAGAGTTAAGGCTAGGCTTAAAAGAAATCCAAATTTGTTAGGTTATGGAAACAGACAACTAAGGCACCCAAACAGCCTTAACTCTGGCCTGTAGCAATGGTATGCAATAAGAGATAGTAGTTCTAGATTATATTAACCTGATTTTTAAAAGATACAGTTTTTTCATAGTTTTCTTTCATGGTATCACTACAGGACAGGGATAAGTTTGATTGGGCACCTTAATTGCGCATTTCCATATCTTATTTGGATTTCTTTAAATCATAAAAGGCTAGAAATCCTTCCCCCTCTCTATGAAAGCTTAGCCTTTATACAAGTTGATGGCATCAGTCCCCCCTTCGTTCACCCAGGAACGCTTACTCACCACAGGCACTATTAGTTAAATTACCTGGACAAAATAAACTGATAGAGTTAAAGGATGCTCCCAATATCACTACTTACAGCAGAGGGTAGATAAGGAATCATGGACCTAACACCAAGAGCTCCGATCAGTGTGCTCAGAATGCACACAACCCCAAAGTTCATTGCTTTCTAGAAGTGTCTGTGATCATGGTGCCAAGAGCATGCAAAACACCAAGAGTTTCGTGATTTGCAATGGAAATTCTCCCTGGAGTACCATCAAACTGCTCAACATGGAATTAAAACAAAGAATTCAAAGCAAAATGAAATAGTGCTAGCTATGAATTGAAGCAAATACATGGTTCTACACAGAAAAACATTTCCACTTCTGCTTCTAAGTTTTTGTTTGTTTTAAAATTTGAAGAATGATGGTGCCAGCACTGATGCTCTTAATTGTAGATTGTGTGCCTATCACAACTTCCAGTATTTGGGGAAAGATTGGAGCACCTTACATAACATGCAGTGTCCATAACTTAAGTTAGTCTAATCGGGTGCTCTAACAGCTTTTCAAGGAAAGCACATTCAATCAATTTTGAAGAAGTCTCGTGTGTTATATGACAAAGTGCCATCCCAGTATGAGAGACCATATGACTAAAACAATAAGTGTTCTCAATTGAACCAGCAGATTCATTTTCAGAACAGCTATGAGGTCTTGAATGAGGTGAAATCTGAGGCAGAGAGATCTTTAGTAGTGCTCATACATTATAAAGGCTTGCTTCTGAGCTGGTAATATAGTGGATTTGTTCCAATATAACCACAGCCCCTTCTGGAATAACTGACAAATTGTTTTGAAACAATATTATTTCCTGAATCATTCAAATTCTTATCAATCATCCATGTAAGGGTAGACATGACATCTTTTTATTCCTGAGAAAAGCCATGTCACCAATGCTAAGCATTTCATATAGGCACATGCTGCTGTGGACATTCCAAAGGGAAGACCCCACTAGTGACAGTGCTTCTGTCTGACCCAGAAATATATGTATTCCCAATGACACGGCCTCTCTGAAATGTGGAAATATGCATCTCTCAAGTTGAGAGCCCTGAGGACACAAAGAGATTATGGCATTAATATCACCATATGGAACTTTAAATAAATTGCTGAGTTTAAGACTCCATTCCAGTATAAGACTTAAGCCTCCCCTTCCCTTTTGGAATAAAGGAACAGAATACCTGACCTTTATACTGCTGTGGAATCCATCTGCCTGAAGTAATTCCAAAAAAAGAGAATATCCCCAAAAGGAAACAGGAAAGGCAAATGTGAAAGGTTTGTCAAATGTGCCTTGAGGTTCTCTGCAGTAGTGTCAAACTTACTGTCTTCAAGACAGTGAGGAACAGGTTCCAAGCTACTGCAGAATCCAACCCCACCTCCTTTTTCTAATCTCACGGATCATTCCATGCATGAGCAAGGAGCTTGTGGCCATAATGGTCGTTGTTTTTAAGATGATTCTTGCCTTGTATTCAGAGGGGCATGTATCCTAATGATGGGGATCTGTAAAAGTAACTCTTGGAGAAAAATAGGTTTATTTCTTCCAATTTACAGAAAGTGCCCATCTGAAACGATGCACCAATTCTACTGAAACAAAATCTAAACAAGAAATATGAAGTCACGCTGAACCAGGAAGAGTGCTAATAAGCAATAAAAATATTAACTGGAAAACAACTATCTAAAGTAGAAGCTTGAAAAAGTAGTAAATATAATTTTGCAGCAACATCTTGCAAAAGAGTCAATGCTATGCTCTGATTTATATACAAGTCGTCACATAAAGCTATGGAGGCAATACAGCCATTCAAAATGGCCTTGTTTCAACCACATCTGGAACAGGTGGTAGTTATGGGCCCCAAAGTTTAGGAAAGCTACAGGAACGAGTAGGAAAGATACAAAGAAGGGCAGCAAAAATAATAAAATGGACAAAACATGTAAATAGATTAAGGCAGATGCAATTATATAGTCATAAAGATGAGAAACTCAGGGAGAACAAGACTTTCAAGTTAAAAATAGCAATATAGAAAATGAAACATTGGGCAAAGGAGCAATGACCTCAAGTTAATGAAGTAATGTTTAGGCTAAAAATTAGGAAAAAGTTTTAAACAGAAAGAGTAAATGGAGTTAATCAAGGCACCATCACTTTACATCTAAAAGAACAGATTAGAGAGATTTGCTGGGATACCTGATCCCCCACATGGAACAAAATATATGCATAACATATCGGCTCAATCATTCTGCTTTATATTGCAGCCTTTCCGCTCATCTGCTATCTCCCACTTTATTCAGAAGCTCTTTGGGGCAGGGACCGTATCTTCATTTCTCTCTAATGCATCTACCACAATTTTGGCACTATAAAAATAAATGCTGGAGTAGTTCTGCAAAATGCAGGTTGATAATGGATGATCTAAATGATCTTTACTGGTATTATTTATCATTGTATACCTTTGAATTCTTTTTCTTTTGAAGCAAAGGTAGACTCACAGTCCATTGCAGTCATCAAGGCAGCCCACATAAGACAGCTGTGATAAATTGCTGCATCAGCTTTCTGATACAAGCAGAGGAATTAAATTTTGAATATATGCTTTTTAGCATATGGTTCTGTCCTGGAACCAAGCCTTTAGTAAGTAATCTTGCAGAGATGCAATGAAATTTTTATGTACAATTTGTATTTTAAAGAGTCATCTCCCCATCTAATAAAACCACAGATTGTAAATGTTTGCTGCACTCTTGTATGCTTCAGAAAGACTTAATTATTCACTTTACACTAGTAACACTGTCAGATTTCTCAGAAGAGGTCATACCTATACAAAGCAGAATCAGCTACTATAAAGAAGATAAAGAAAAGCAAAGTAATAAGATAAAACTGTTCAGTGGGGAAAGGGGTGGGGGGAGGAAGGACAGTAATCAATTGGAATGGGCTTTTTTGTTTGTTTGTGTTTGGTTTTAGGTGAATGGCATTACTCATTGAAAACTTTCATAAGTTTCAAACAGAATCTGCACTATTTGATGTTACTACTAGTTTGCCAATTCTTTCCTGCAGAGTGGAGAAAGATCAGTTTTACGGTACTCAAATTTGTGCTGTGTGCCCTCTCAGCATGTGTAAATGGCCCACGATCCATGCCTGAAATAACTCTCAATTTAATAAGGGATTTAACTGAGGCTACAGAGTTTTAAGTCAATGGATTCCCATACTAGAAGTTTTCTGTGACATTTTTACACATAGGTGAAGTCAGAAGAGACAAATGAAAGGGTGTGATTACTTTGATGACTAATTAAATCTGAAGCCTCCTAACTGCATGTATTCTCTCTCCTGAAAGAAAATGCATTTGTTTAAAAGTAGTAGTAGTTACACTTATTACAGATTCAGTACATGGGTAGTCCAGAAGGTTTGAGACTGCCTTACCTGTGCTCTCTCTTCATCAAATTCCAGGCAGCCCATACCATCCAGCCTCTGCAGATCTATCCAGCCTTTCCAGATAACACAGACACCATTCAAAATCATAGGTGCCTTTAAGTATACCTGAAATATAGGCAGACACATGCATCTGAGTTCAAAAAGCTTGTGTGTGTGTGTATATATATATATATATATATATATATATATATATATATATATATATA